ATCCCAGACCCTTTAACCCCTTCCTTTGGAGTCTGGGTAGTCCTAAGTGGAGAAGAGAAGAAAGGAATTGGAGTTTCTATTACTAAGGCTTTTGTACTGGTGACTGAATTGGTGAGGCATTTTGGGCGTTCTATAGTTTAGGGAGCAAGAAATGACCATTGTGGGAGCTTGTGAGTAGAAGTATGATAATTGTTAATCTCAGGAAACTCAGTCATACAACTGGGATTCTCCACTTCTAGATTCCAAGAATGTACCATGATGGAATAGGTTTTGTTTGTAGGTTACAGAGCAGAACCTATTTGGCAATCTTTATCTCTCAGCCCTATTCCCATCCTTTTAGCCTGATAGCATCTAGGAATAGAATTATTTAGAAATTGGTCAGACCCGCCACTAGGACAGTTGGTGGAAGTTGTAGATGGGAGTTACGGCTTGGTTCATCTCTATGACCAATCTGTCTTAAAAATGGACTTTTTTTTTTTTTTTTTAACCAAGTGGGCCAGAGATGGCTCTTTAAGGTTCTTTTTAGTCATTAGGGCTAAAATTGGGTTCAGGCTACATATGGAGGTGGTAGGTTATAAATACACTATCAATGGAATATCTGGTAATTATGTAAGACCTTAAGTGTTGGGGGAGGAGGGTGGTGAGAGGGAAGAGAGTTTCACACATTCATGATGGAAGAAACACTTTCTGAGGGAGGAGAAGTTCCATTTCCTTCAATACATTCTAAACAAATTCAAGTGACCTTTGCATATGAAACTTCTTTCTTTGGTTAGAGACCACTTCCTTTTCCTATAGATGGGGGTAGGCAGAGGTAGGGTTTTGGGGGCTGCTCATCTGAGGGACCAGTTTGTTAATCTGTAGTGTGGGCTGGAGGAAGTAACTGCTGTGGCCAGCAGAGTATTTTAGAGCGTGAAGTAAGTGTGAGTATATGTGTGTGTGTGTGTGCATGCATGCATGCGTGCGTGCATGCACATGCAAGCACACTAGATGGTTTTGTGTGGACAAAGAGCCTTGCCCCACTTTAGTGATTTCACTTAGCAAACACTAGAAAAGTGCGTCTTAGAGGGGATAGGGAGTAGTTGAAAGCTGAGGAAATGACTTGATAATACTAAACATTTAGGCAGCACTTTATATTTCTATTTCTCATATTGCTGTTCAGCCATTGGTCAATATCATTGCTTCCCTCCTCCTCTACATCTCCTGAGACTAGTATCCAGAGGCACCAGGAGATTCACTTACCTCATCTCCTGAAAATCAAGTAGGAGAATCAGGAACCAGGCCCTTGAGTTCTAATGTCGTCCTCCCTCTTGCTCCATGCTACCATTCTACCCTTGCAGAGACTTTTAGGAGATAGATTTCTCAACACAGAGCCATTGGGGTGTTGGCAGGCAAAACATCAATTTGGCAGAATCGTCCCTAGATTTGATAATAGCTGAAAACTAGATTTTTCCTTCACCTCTCTTTTCAGTTCAGTTCATTTTAAAAAAATATTTTATTTTGCACTTGATAAACACCAAATTAAATAGGCATTTGCATATACACGGTAGAACAGAAAGAAGAGGATTGTACTTGAAATTGCAGATATTTATTTCACACCCCTTGTTTTTCTTTCTGCTTTCTGGCCTTCTTTCCATTCTTTGCATTTCTTTTTTTAAGATGCCTCAAAGACCCTTTTTTCTTTTTTTTTGCTACTCTGTCCCCATTTCCTCTTAACCTGCCTGGCCCCTTTTCTCCCTTAAAAAAGAAAAAGAAAGCCCTTGTAACAAATCTGCATAGTCAAACAAAACATTCCCACTTTGGCTATGTCTTACTTGGCATCTTGAGTCTATCAAGTTAGTTAGCAAACTCAGTCATCTGTCCTTGGGAACTGTGGTTGAGCATTGCATTGATCTTCCAGAGTTGCTTTTCTTTCAAATGTTGTTACCATATAAATTGTTTTCCTGCTTCTTCACTTTGCCTTAGTTCATTTTAAATTCAATTCAACAAATATTCATTCAGCCTCTATTATGTGCCAGGCACCAAGTTCAGAGCTTGGGACACAAACATAAAAGAAAATGTTCTTGCCCTCCCGGTCATTTCCCAATATATTTCCCTCCATAGAATCCTCTTTTGTAACAAAGAAAAACAGTTGAGCAAAACAACTGCTATGGGTAGCAAATACAACATTTGTTTCTGTAGTTCCTGAGCCTCTTTCCCAAGACCAGGAAAGCCTTTGGGTTTCAGGACTGGTCTTTGAAACAAATCTGAGTTTGACTGTCTTATATCGTTCACGTTTCATGGCGTACATTCTGCTGGTTCTGTTTATTTTGCTCTTCATCGCTCCATACGTACATGTTTTTCTATGTTTCTTTTAACTTTCTCGTGTTCGTGATTTCTTCCTGTGCAATAGGATTCTACTATGTATGCCGAAATTTGTTCAGCCATTCCCCAGTCAGTGGGCACCACAGTGCTGCTCCTGTCTTAGTTTATGTGGGGGCTTTTCTTTCTTTTACCTACTTGGTAGGATTGTTCGTCTCTTTTGAAAACACTTGTAGAAAGCTCCATTCTATACAGTGAGATTGATAAATGAGTGACCACACCCAGTCTCCTTGCTCGGAAGATGGAGCTGTTCTTTCTCCTGGAAGGGAGGGGTGAGAGGGAAAGGAAATCCAGCGACCCAATGTTTTAGTGGAGATATTTGTCTAATTGTTTTTCTCCTAAGTACGCTTAGCCCTGCTGGCTATCTGGAGGCTTTTGCTCTTTCTAATCAACTGCTTTAAGGGGGAATCTGGAGGAGAGTTAAAAGCGCCTGGGGCTCGGTTGACCTTTCAACCATTTGTTACTTTAGTCTTCACAGAGTTGGGCAGTAGCATTAGTCCAACCTATCTATCTCACTTGGCAAGCACTTTCTCCTGGACTTCTGAGTGACTGAGCAGGGCTGTAATGGCAACAGGCAGAGGACTGGCTCTAACAATTGAGACATCTCCGGTTCTCAGAGAGCCATTGTGACGTTTCCTGTCTCTGCAGTGCTCTACACCAGTTGCTGCAGCAAATCTGTCTCACAATGCACTGTGTTCCTGTCTCTAAGGCCTGACTGAGCTGATCCATGTTTCCCTGCCCCCACTTTTTCTGTTCCCCCTCCCCCCTCCCCCAATGCTCCTTCCTTGAATGGGGCCTCTATTCTCTTAGGAGAGGGCTGGGAAATTTCCAGCTGTTTCTTTGGGGCTCCACCCATCCCAGGGGGGAGTATGTGTGTTTGGGGGGGGAAGGGGCTCAAGCCTGGGAACTTGGCTCAAGTTCCAACCTGTGGGAATCTCTGAGGTGAAGTACCTATCATTTGCTCATCTCTCTCTCTCTACTTCCAAGGTCAAGATTTCCAGAGGATAGATGAGGGCCACCTCCTTGGGTCCCATCCTGGGTTGAGGGTAGCAGACAGCAAGTCATCCTCCTCAATATGCTTTTTAAAATCTTTTTGTCCAACTGTTGTATAATACTAATATGCAACTCACATTTATATAGCACTTTTAAGATTTAAAAAAATGTTTCCCTTACAACTGTTTGCAAGTATTATTGTCTTTGTTTTACAATAGAAGAAAGTAAGATACTGAGAGGTTGTGATTTGCACATGGTCACAGTTAGTAAGTGTCTGAGGTGCTGTTTGAACACAGATCTCTTGACTCAAGGCTAGTGCCCTTTCCATTATACCATACTTTCTCTCCCTATGTTAGCTTCTAGTGATAAAAGGAAAGACAAGACATAGTTCTGCCTTCATGCTGACTTCAGTCTGGTTGTATCCAGTCGGAGGCATAAGGCAAATGCATGTTAAAATAGCTGTAATACGAAGAAGTTTATGTGTCAGATAAAAGGGTCTAGATAGTAAATGCCATGGTATTTTATAAGAGAGAACATGTGATGGGCAAGGTGAATTAGGGAAGGCTTCATGAACAAAGGAAGTGAGATTTGAGTTGGGCCTTGAGGGGTGATTAGATTTTGATAGATGGAGAAGAGACACAGCATATAAAGACAAGGTGGAAGGCAGGAAGGCAAGAAAACCATTCCAGGGATAGAGAGGAGAGTAGTTTGTATGGAATTAGAGTTCCTGTAAGGAAGTGGTAGGAGATGAAAGGCAATTTGGGACCATATTATGAAGGGCCTTGAATGCCAGGGTAGGGAATTTGCATCCAATATATTATGTGCTCAGTAGGGACTTATTAAAGGTCTTTGAACCAGAAGGCTAATTCACTAATTTATAGTTGGATATACCTCTACAGACTGTGACTAATGTTCTGCATAAGACACATTCACCTCAGTGGGCCAGCACATTCAGGAAACCTAAATGACAGTTCAGAAAGTTGTTTAGTGAAAACTGAATCAGAATGAAAGGAATTGGATGTTCTCAAACGGTATTTAAATCCTGCTCTGATAATTCATGCGCCTCCGTTCTCTAGAGTTATTTTTATCAAAAGAAGAGGACTCTTTTTTTTGAGTCCAGAACACCCTCTCTCCCTTGGCCAGGCCTGCTGCCACCTTGATGTGGATTCCGTTTTAACTCTGTACTCCTAATGGCTACTCTGCATTGTGGTAGGTGTGTTCCGTGGCCTCTAAAGAGCCCCTTTGTGATCTTCAGTTGATCTTGCCTCCTACTTAATTTTTAAGTTAGACACTTACACTGGGATATCTTAGCCCTCCTCTGCTCTCTACAGTTGCCTGTTGTTTTGTTTTTTCCTTTCCTACCTGTCATATCTTTGTCTTCCCTTTGGTCTCTTCTTTGGCCTAATCATGTCATTTTAACTTTTGTAGACATATGTTATGCATGTTGTTGTCTAGGGTTGTCGTCGGTCATTTGGTGCATGTAGTACTGTTCCCCCAGAGAGCTGGGCAGCTGGAAGTTGTGTACCCCGTAGACAAGTGGGGAGCACTCTGCCTGTTGTAGGCTTTAGGAAGTTGTTGCCTTTAGGAAAAATAGTGGCATTCTTGGGTGGCATCTAATGTTAGTGTTTTTCTTTTTTTTTCCTCTGAAGGTTTGTCAGAAGACTTGAAATTCTGTGTACTCTACTTGGCAGAGGTGAGTACTTTCTATTTGGGGTCATCCTCTTGAGCAGTGGGGCGCAGCAGTGGTGCCTTTTATTCTTCAGTGAGGGGTGGCCTTTGGCGTACGGGGCCTGTAGTCCAGGCCCTTCAGTTCTGCTACCATAGCATATTTGTGAGGCAGTGTGGTTCAGTGGAAAGGCGGCTGAACGTGGAATCGAGAGATAATGTGTTTGAATCCTGGCTGTGACCCTAGCTTTAGAGCGGTTACAGACAAGTCTCTTCCTGGAGCCTGCATTTTTTTACTTGTAAAGTTGGGATAATAATGCTTGCACTAACTCACAGGGCTGGTTGAAGAGCACTTTGGAAACCTAAAAAGAGCTGTAGAAGTGTGAGCTTACGTATGATGTTTAATCTCTGTGGGCCTTGTTTTTTTTATTTTTTAAGAGAGGCATAGTGATTACCTTTGTCATTGTCTCCCTAACACAAATGATAAAAGGATTAAAATGGTAATAGATGTAAAATTATTTTAAAAGTGTAATGCTCTTCAAATATAAGGTCAGCATAGTGCCAAGTACGTAGTAGGTGCTTAATAAATACTCGGGGCTTGATTTATTTTGTTTTCAGTTGTCAGTGAATTGGATAGCTCTGGCTTCTGTCAAGCATGTGTGACTGAGCAAATAGCTTCTCTTCTCTTGCCTTCAGGTTCTGCTTCTGTAAAAGAAAGGGGCTTCAACTAGGTGGTCTCCGTGATGATGATGATAATAATTATTATTATTATTATTTTATACGTAGTACCTTGTGGTTTACAAAACATTTTACATATATTATTTCATTTGATTCTGACAACAACCTTATGAGGTAGGTGCTATTATTATCCTCCTTTTATAGATGAGGAAACTGAGGCTGAGAAAAGTTAAATGATTTGTCCAGGTTACACAGCTAGTATTTGAGGTAAGCTTTTAACTCAGGTCTTCCTGATTCCCAGTCCAGTGGCACTCTCTGCACTATACTTCTTAGTTCTAACTGCACCTTTGAACTTTAACATCTGTGGATTCTAAGAAGAAATGGTCCCAAATTAAAGGAGGACAGATTTGAGTTATATATAAGGAAGGACTCGTTTAGTGGCTGGGTAATAGCATTAGAATAGAACAATGAGCGAGGCTGTGGAATCTCTTTCCTGGAAGAGCTTCAAGATAGCCATTCTTCTAGGTGGTACAGTGAATAGAGTTCTGGCCTTGGAGTCGGGAGGACCTGAGTTCAAATCCAGCCTCAGACACTTAACACTTACTAGCTGTGTGACTCTGGGCAAGTCACTTAACCCTGATCACCTCACCAAAAAGCAAAAAAAAAAAAAAAATTGCCATTCTTTCTGGATGGTTTAGAGAATCACTTTCTTTGAAGTCAGTAGATTTGACTAGATGACCTCTCAAGGTCCCTTCCAGCTCTATGATTCTGTGATTCTGATTCCCCTGGGTGGCATCTGCACAGAGACCCTTAATTTCTTTAATGGTCAGCAAAATTCCATTTTGCTGGGCTCAATTTGTTTTTCACAAAGAAAAACACTTTTCCTTGGGTTATTGATCTCTAGGGGCCTATAGACTGCCACTCTGCTAATGATTGATGAGTACATATTGGTTTTGGGCCTTTCCCTTCACTGATGTACAGAGACCATCTCTGTTAATCTGATACAGAGGGATTTAGGGATGGAAATTTTGTAGTGACCAAAGAATAATCTCTTTTTCTCTTAATGTAATAGTAATTATAATGAAGGGGAAAGGTAGAATGATGAGAAGGAAAGGAGGGAAAAGGAAAGGAGGGGGGAGAAGATAGAGTAGGGGAGGGAAAGGGAAGAGGGAAAGAGGGAAGGGAGAGAGAGAGACAGAGAGAGAGAGAATATTTTCTTTTATATGAGTGGCTCAGGATTTTCCAGGAAGAGTTTCTATAAATGAATTATATTGAGAGTCCAGAAACTCATAGTTTAGCCTATATAGTAGTTTCAAGTGGCTAGACACATTATCAGAATGGCTGTCAAGGAGTTTCCCTTCTTTTCTCTACCCTGTGGTAGAAAATAGGCTGCCAATGCCTCCCCCTCTAAGGTTACCTTGTATTTACTTTGTATGTATTTTCCGTGTGTGTATACATTATATACAATATATTATAAAATATTATATATGCTATTAATATGCTATTCAGTATATTAGTAACACAATTGATATTGTTAATTATATTAATATATATTATGTACACATTATCTTCCCTGTTAGAATATAAGGTTCTTGAGGGTAGAAATTTTTTCTTTGAATCCCTGTCACTTAGCATAGTGCCTGGCACATAGTAGGCACTTAATAAATGCTTATTGATTGATTGATTGATTATATGTAGTAGAAACTAGAGCTTTTATCTGTCAAACAGATAAAATCATGTGTTTTTCATTATATGGAATAAAATATTAGATGCTCCCTATGTTGGTGTGAGGCAAAGATACAGTTGTTACCCAATCAAGAAATTGTGTGTTGAAGTCTCCTGAATATGCCTTTGGTACCTGTGTCTTGACCTTTTGGGGAAGTATTGTTTAGCCATCATAGACCCAGGAGATAGGTAAAATTCTATGCCTGGCTTTAGCATGCCGTAATACATAAACATTCATTGAAGTTGGCCAGGGAAGCTGTGTTTGAATTTTGGATTCCAACTCATGGTAAGGTTAGTGCTTTCTTTTAATTTACCACCACCCGGTGACCTGCAGAGCCGTGGCAGCAAGATAGTAAAAAGAAAGAAACAACAACCCACCTCCCCCCAAAAAAACAAAAACAAAAAAACAGAACCTGGCAGTGCTTCAGACTGCAGGAAGGTTGAAAGAGGATTTCGGTCTCTGACAATCACCAGCCATGCAAGACCAGCCCTATGGAACAGTGTTCTATGATCAGCATTGTTGTTCTGGTTTAAAACATACAAGGGCATTGTCTCATTTGCATAGTATTAAAAATGGGTCACTCTTAAGCAATTACAGAAAGAACTGATGAGGTTTAGGATATGTTAGAAAGACTGTTAAAAAGCAAGGGCTAGGAAGCAATATTTCTGCTTTCTTTTATTAAAAATTCAGTTCTGGTCACCACAAAAACATTCAGAAAATAAACAAAGTCCAGAGAAAGAAGAAAACCAAAAAAGATCAGAACAATGAAAGGCATCCTTTCCATGAGGAGAGATTGGGGAAACAGGGAGGGGACTTCCTTGTCTGAGAGAATAGAAAGCTAAGGGGTCACTTGATGAGTGGGTTGTAGTAGATGTGTGGTTTCAGTGAGGGGAGGAGGGATAGTATAGGAGAAAAAAAAAAGCACATTGAACATTGAAGTCAGAAGACCTGAGCTGGGCTCTACCCACTTAATATCGGTGTGACCCTGGGTGTTACTTCCCCTCTGTGGGCCTCAGTTTCTTCACTGGTAAAATGAGAGCGTTAGACTGGATGCCCTCTGAGGTCCCTTCAGTCTGAACTTGTTTGATTGTGTAGAAAACTAAAGAGCTATTCTCTATATTCTCAGTGTCAGTTTTTTTGTTTTTGTTTTTTTCCCATGAAAGAGAGAACAAGAGAATTAGCCTAAATTAAAGGGCAACTAGGTGGCGCAGTGGATAGAGCATTGGGCCTGAAGTCAGGAAGTCCCATCTTTACGAGTTCAAATCTGACCTCAGACACCTGCTGGCTGTGTGACCCTGGGCAGGTCACTTAACTGTGTTTGCCTCAGTTTCCTCACCTGTAAAATGAGCTGGAGAAGGAAATGACAAACCACTCCCCGAAAGCAGTTACAGAGAGTTTGAAATGAGTGTACAACAGCAACCATAATATAAACTCCTTAAGAGACTGTCTTTGTGGTAGTTAGGTGGCCCAGTGGATATGACTTGGAGTCAAGAAAACCTGAGTTCAAATTTGGCTTCAGTCACTTACTAGCTGTCATTTATTTGATAGAAAAAAAAATGGCCTTACTCTGGGAGGGAAACCATGCTTTCTTTAAAAAAAAAACAAAAACATATTTATTTCATTAAATATTTACCAATTGCTTAAAATTTTTTTTAACTTTTTTTTTTTATTTTTTTGGCAAGGCGGTCGAGGTTAATTTACTTGTCCAGGATCATGTAACTAGTAAGTGTCAAGTGTCTAAAGCCAGATTTGAACTCAGGGCCAGTGCTTTATTTACTGTGCCACCTAGCTGCCTCTAACATTCATTTTTAAAAATTTTGAGTTCCAGTTGTCTCCTTCCCTCTTGTCCCTCCCCCCTGCCCTTTGAGAAGGGAAGTGACATTATATCACTTGTACATGTGAAGTCATGTAAAATATATTTCCATATTAGCCATGTTTCAAAAGAAAACTTATGGAAAAAAAAGAAAAGGAAGAAAGTGAAAAAAGTATATTTCAGTCTGCACTCAGAGTTCATCAGTTCTCTCTCTGGAGGTGGATAACATTTTTTTTTAAATTATCTTGGATCATTGTCTTGGTCAGAGTAGCTAAGTCTTTCACAGTTGATCATCATTACAATATTACTGTTACTATGTATAATGTTTTCCTGGTTCTGCTCACTTCACTTTGCATCAGTTTATATAAAACTTTTACGTTTTCCTAAAACCATCCTGCTAAAGTTGTTAATTGTTTCAACTAGATTTTTAATCGATTCTCTAGGGTTCTCTAAGTATACTATCATATATACATCATAGTCTTATTGCTATAGCAAGCATTTCTAATACAGTATTAAATAATAGTGGTGATAATGGACTTCCTTGCTTTACCACTGATCTTATTGGGAAGGCTTCTAGGAAAACATGTTTTTCAAAGAAGTGCAAATAATCCAAGTATAGAGCACCCGGCAGAAATACTTGTGACTGACCATTTTATCTTAGGGTAAATGGCTAATGTCCCCTTAGCACCATCTGCATCCTTCTCTTCAGTATTTGCTAATCACAACTTGATTGTTTCTTTACCCGTATTGGCAACCAAAGCTGTAACCACCATCAGAATTCCAAACAATAGAAGCTGGAGAAACAGCAGAG